TCCCCAGTGTTCCCGCTGCTCCCAGTGCTCCCAGTTCCTCCCAGTCCCCTCCCAGTCCCCTCCCAGTGCCTCCCAGTGCTCCCAGTGCCCTCCCAGTACACCCTCCAGTGCCCTCCAGCATCCCCCCAGTGGCCACCCAATGATCCCAGTGGCCCCAGTGCTTCCCAGTGCCCTCCCAGTACACCCCCAGTGCTCCCAGTGCCTTCCCAGTGGCCCCCAGTGTTCTCCAGCATCCCTCCAGTGCTCCCAGTGCCCTCCCAGTACACCCCAGTGCCTCCCAGTGCCCTCCCAGTACACCTCCAGCATCCCTCCAGCATCCCCCCAGTGATCCCAGTGCCCTCCCAGTGGCCACCAGTGCTCCCCCAGTGCTCTCCAGCATCCCCCCAGTGGCCACCCAATGATCCCAGTGGCCCCAGTGCCCTCCCAGTGCCTTCCCAGTGCCCTCCCAGTGGCTCCCCAGTGCCCTCCCAGTGGCCCCCCCAATGCTCCCAGTGGTCCCCAGTGCTCTCCAGTGCACCCCCAGCATCCCTCCAGTGCTCCCAGTGCCCACCCAATGATCCCAGTGGCCCCCATTGCCCTCCAGCATGCCCCCAGTGCCCCCCAGGGCCTTCCCAATTGCTCCCAGTACCTCCCCCATGCTCCCAGTCCCTCCCAGTTCAACCCAGTGCCCCCCCAGTGCCTCCCATGTACTCCCCAGTGCCCTCCCAGTACCACCCCAAGTGCTCCCAGTCCCTCACAGTGCCACCCCAAGTGCTCCCAGTCCCTCCCCGTATGACCCAGTGCCCTCCCAGTGCACCCCTAGCCCTCCCAGTCCCTCCTAGTGCTCTCCCAGTGCCCCCCAGTGCTCTCCAGCATTCCCCCAGTGCTCCCAATGCCCCCCAGTGCCCTCCCAGTGGCCCCCCAATGATCCCAGTGGCCCTCCAATGATCCCAGTGGCCCCAGTGCCCCCGCAGTGCTCTCAGAGGCCCCCCCAATGCTCCCAGTGACCTCCCAGTACACCGCCAGTGCCCCCCAGTACCCTTCCAGTGCCCTCCCAGTACCACCCCAAGTGCTCCCAGTCCCTCCCAGTGCCTCCCCCCCACTCCCAATCCCTCCCAGCGCCCCCCCCACGTGCTTCCCCCCC